TGCAGCAATATAAGAAGTCTCATTGATAATATCTTCCCTGATTTGAAAAATCGGCTAATTTCAAGCATAAAATCATGTAAAAATGGTCATATTTTGCATTTGATTCTGCAATGTCCCTCTATGCAATTCCTACTGTGAGATTTGCTGCTAAAAGATGGAACATTGTCTCCGGTCTCGACCTGGAAGTTTAATGAATGGGGAAGCATGTCAAGTTGCATCTTCTCTGTCTAAAGTTGTATCTCCTCTGTCCAAGTCATCTTCAAACAGTCTGAACCCTCCACCACATAGTAGTCTCTTTTCTTCATCACTGTGTTCACTCAACTATGCATTGTACAAAGTACAAATTTTATACACAGCCTTTTATCACAGTGTTCACTCGACTACGCTTCAGATTGCATAGGTTGCTTGAGACATAGTATAGTATTGGCAGTAGTTGTGGATTTTTGGAGTTCACTTCCACTCTTTGATTTTTGATTATGGAAAAATCAATTTAGACAAAGAAGCTTCAGCTACAGATTTCTCATCTTTATATTTTATCAGTCAATGTGCTATTTTAATCATTTTTTTTGGTCATTCATAATAAGTACCTTATTGTTACTATTCCTGTTAAAATAATGTGGTAGATGAGTGATGTTTTTCACTTTGTAGATTATAGCAATTTGGGCAGTGAGCTAGAGGGGATAAGCTGTTCACCGAATTTCATTGAATCACAGGTTCGTGCTTTTATTCAAAATATCGATTGTGCTTGATAAGTAATTAGGAGCATAAACGATTGAGTCTCTCTTTATTTCTTACATTTAAATTTCCTGTTACTATGAACCTTGTGGGGAAACGTGTTGTCCAAATCCAAGTTGACTAGTTGTCTGCAATTCTGCATAGCATCATTTATCAGAAACTCCACTTGTGATTATAGTTTTTTCATTTTTCTTATCTTAATTTTCTTTGTATCTGGAAATCTGTAGTATTTAGAATTTCTTGATGAGTAGCTTTTTGTTCCATAATGTGCACAGTTCATTATTTAAACTTCCATGTGCTATTTTCATTCAACTTCAATATGTTACTAATCAGTATAAATGTGCGTGAATCTCCAGTTCTCCTCTAAAAATGAAGGAAGATGATTGAGTTTTTGCTGGTCTCTCAATGATGAAGGTATGGGCTTCTATTTTATTAGATCAAAACAAGTTGGAGATGAAAACATAGCTTTGTTTTAGAGTTTTAATTTAGTTGATTTTTTGTTGATATATGTATGTGTGAGTGTGTAGGTGTAGCTTTGCTGAGATTTAAAGAGGGAGTGGAGAGCGATCCATATGGGGCTTTATCAGATTGGAATGAAGAAGTTGGAGTGGAAAATCCATGTTCCTGGTTTGGTGTTTGGTGCTCAGATGGACATGTTGTGGTTCTGTAAGTATATAGTCTTGTCTCGAGTCAAATGGTTTCCTTTTATGATTTACTATAATTGTTACAACCCATTTTCATTGGTCAAAGCAAATGGCTGAATTGTCAAGGTCAAAGTCAACATGGACTTAATTGGAATAATTTTTTTTTTGGGGCTTATGTTATATTTAAGAAAATTGAGGGTTAAGATGGATTAATATTGAAGTGGAGGACTTACTTATACAACATATGATAGTTGAGGGACTTCCTATGCAAATAGCCCATTATTTTACCAAATTTTAACCCATTTCCCCATTTCATTCACCCCCCTACGCAGAGAAGAACTGAAGCTGCCGAGAAAGAGAGGAAAGAAAGGGGAGAAAAAGAAGAAAAAAGGAGGAAAAAGAAGAAGAAAAAGGAA